AAAAAATGTGAACATCGTTTAAAAACATGTCTTTGGATTGCGTCACATGAAATGCACCCGCAATCCGGAATACATTTTTATTCAATGTTTTGGGATTTGGATTTGGGTTGCATGAAATGCACACCCGAGTTTAAGAAGGTAAGATTATTAAGATGCGTGAATATTTTCTAAAGCAATTAGCGTATTTATTATTTTGGATAAGGCCGTGGAGTTTGCTAAACGGCCGATCCGAATTCTAAGTAATTTTAATTAAACATTTATCGAGGGTCCCGCAATTTGTGCATTTTATTAGGCGAGGCTCATCTCATTTATTTTAAAAGGATAATCCTAAAGTGCCTACATTTTTTCTATTAAAATTGTCTCTACAAAATGAAAGAGAAAAAGACTTAATTTATTTACATGCTTAAACGGGCCGTTGTTTATTTTTTACCAATTTACGATCATTGTTGACGATAAATAAACATCATGAAAATTGAAATTGTAAATAAAGTACAAAATTGACAAGTAGTATTTTTTATTTTTTTTGTTTTTAAAGAAAATAAACATCTTGTAACTATCCTAAGCCTATTTTGTTAAATGAACAAACCATGGGTATTAATTAGACACAAATATTGGCAAATAGAATTAACCTTAATTACTAATACTTTTTCGAAAAGAATAAAAATAAAATATTGAACTCCAATATTAACTCATTTTTACTCGACTCATGCCTATTGAATTAATGTTCTTAGCCTTGCTATAATTACTCTTCAAATATGCTAAACCTGCTAATTCTACTAGTTAAGGATTCCCATGTTTGCCTAAAATTTGCGGGTCTTTGTCACTTAAAAATTCAACAACTACAAAATTGCGAAATACTTCTAATCCAATGTCTGCGAGTTCAAAGCTAGATTTTTGTTAACCGACCAATATCAAATTGATATCCTACATGGATTATTTACCAAAAATGATTTCGAACTAAGGTATTTGATAACACATCATTAACAAAATTGGCATTATTTAACTATGAAACTCACGCGAGACTTATAAGTAACACATATTATACTAATTGATGCTCATACCTTTTCAAAGAATTCAGTTCCACAATTTAATGTTACTTATCAATTATCAATTTAATGTTACCTACGATTTCAAATAAATACCGTTTTCAACTATGATTACTTAAACTTGTTCAAATCAACCACTCAATACTTATT